AATAATAATAATAATAATAATAATAATAATAATGATAACAATAATGATAATTATGATAATATTAATAAGCATGATAATCCTAATAATAATATAACTAGGAATGTTATTATCATCATTAATAACAACACAATAACAATAATAATAATAATAATAATAATAATAACAAAAACAATAATAATAAAAACAACAACAACAACAATAAAAATGAAAAAAGTTGATCAATAAAAAAAAAGCAAAACCTATTAGCGGCCCGAAACGTCGAGCCGGCAACCCTGGCCTCTCTCTGCCTCGCCGCCCGTCGCCTCGGCCCCGTAACCCATAGAGAGAGCGCGGGCGGCAGCGGGTCAATAGCACAGCCCGCCCGCGACCTGACACCGAGCTCATCTTCAACCTCAACTCACCTTCAGGGCGGTTACCAGTGTTACAAGATACCGCCTTGTCACACTATTAGAAGGAGACAGAATATCTACGTAACACATGCATATGGTTTTGTCTCCTTGGGCGGGGGAGGAGGTTTTATACCCCTGTCACTAGGGTGCTTCTTAGGGGGGTATATGACGTGGTTGGCACATGGTACGATTGACACATGGCACGGTTGACATATGGCACGGATGACACATGACACAGTTGACACACTGAGCGTATGGCAGGGGTGGGGGGCGGGTGATTTCCTCTCGCCGTTGGGAGGCTGAGCGCGGCGGATTTATCACATCGGAGAGGGCGTTTCCGCTACGTTGGCATTATTGGCACTGGCGGCACTCTCTCTCCGGGGTTCGTGGTGTCACTGCCAACGCTCGGGATATATGGCACTGCGCGGCGATCAGGCACTGAAGGCGGGCGGGAGCGCCAGCCCTGGCACTGGGCGAAGCAGCTCCCGAAACCGCACTTCGGCAGGATCGAAGGGAGGGGGGCGAGGGGGGCAAGGGGAGGGGGCAGGACGCCACATGACCTGGCACGGGCAAATGGTGGCATGACACGAGAAACAACACACTGGCACTACGGAAGACGCGAGGCCTCCAACGGGCACCTCATGGCACTGGAAGGCAGGCACCGCGACACAGCAGGAGCGGGAGGAGGTTTCCACAAGGACGCGAGGGAAGGCACTGAGAGCCAGGCGTGGGAGGCGAGGGGAAACTTCGGATCCAGGGAGGGGGGGGGAGGGGAGGAGGGCGAGGCGGGTGGGGAGGTAGGGGGGGGGTGAGCGAGGGGAAAGCGAGAAGGCGCGAAAGCGAGCGGAGGAAGAGGAGGGGGGGAGGAGGGAGGGAGGGACGGAGGTGGGGAGGATAGAACCGCGACGCAACGAAGCGTGAGACAAAAACCGTAGCATCGGTCGAAATACCCGACTGTCTTGTCCTGCTTTGCAACATCCTGAGCAGCGCCATTCATCCCTGCAATCGATGAGCAAGACGACGGTAGTACTACAGCCCTCCGTCGGCCCTGCTTGCGCATGCGGCTCCTCCCTCCCGTGCAGGCGGCGAGGTGGACGCCAGATCGGCCGCTCCAAGCACGGACAGACAGTGTACGCGCGCCATACGTACATAGTCACACATACGCGCACTTTATCCCTCCTCCCCCCTCCCCTTGCCTCGTGCATGACAACAGG